AAATGTGAAGTACATAGCATAACTAAGTGTTTCTGTGAGTTTAAGAAAAAGTTAAATATTCAAAAGTGTGTTTTGGGGTGAAAACCTGATTTTTAACATGGGTTTCAATGAGAAAGTGCCACGCCCACTTTTGTCAAATATTGACACTTTAGAGGCCTCTTGCTCAGAAAAAAGCACACTAACATATGGTTTTTAAAGTTTTAATATTCTTTGTTGCCCGTGAGAATCCCAGAAAACCATTTTGAGAAAAAGTTAAATACTATTGAATATTTTCCTATCTGACCAGGGAACATCCTTAAAGGTTTTACTGCAGTTGTAAACATTTCCTGTTGGAAATATTCCAGCTCAGATGAATAATACAGAGCATGTAGCAATCATAAACATGTTACCCCACCTAGACATACCCTGAATCCCTAACATCTAGTCACCCTTCCCTCTAACTATAATAGAGCATGTAGCAATCATAAACATGTTACCCCACCTAGACATACCCTGAATCCCTAACATCTAGTCACCCTTCCCTCTAACTATAATAGAGCATGTAGCAATCATAAACATGTTACCCCACCTAGACATACCCTGAATCCCTAACATCTAGTCACCCTTCCCTCTAACTACAATAGAGCATGTAGCAATCATAAACATGTTACCCCACCTAGACATACACTGAATCCCCAACATCTAGTCACCCCACCCGCTAACTATTATAGTTGATGTTTGATCAAACTGTTAGAGATCTCTAACATTCAAAGAGGGTATTCAAGGCCAAGCTCTTATCAAGGGTACTCAATGAACAACAGAAATATCAAAATTAAAAACATATTTTTGTCTATAGAATTCTATACAGCTTTGATAATTTGAGAACTTCTGTTATATATACTGAATTTCAATGTCAGTTCTCTTCAAGAAATTACCCCTTGCCAATGTCAATCACTCTTTTAAAAACAGTAAAACTGTTCACAAAACTGTTAAAAAAAATAACTTTGAGTCTAATGGTTTTCAACTTCTATAAATTCAATCTTTTTTTAGTGCGTCAATAGTGAACTTTCAAATCCGCCTGTATGCTTTTGATACTTATTGAATTAAAATTCCCCTCCCTGTTTAAATAATTTGATAACTATAAGTACTCTGAATCGGAACTCTGTAACTTGCAGATAATATTACAGTTTTGATGCTGAAGAGATCTCAATGGTCTCAAATGTTGATTTCTAACTATCAGTATGCCTTCAGAAAGGAACTGATCATGATGTCTATTATCTTTCAGGATCTCTATATCAATGACAAGGATGTAAGTCACACATTCTGATACTCATAGCATCTTTCTGTTTAACCTGAAACATGGGCTGAGAAGAAATGAGATGTCACACAATATTTCAGAAAAAGAAGTGGGAGGACGAGGATAAGATTATTGAAATGAATTCTATCGATCTGTCTGGAACTTAATCAAGAAAGTGGGTGTGCATGACCAAATCTATATCTCAATGTCATTTGTTAATAACAGAGGTGTCAGTAGAAACAAAATGTAATCTTCATGCTTTTTATATACGTTTGTTCAGAGAGTAATTTTATTTGAATTTTACTGTATATTGTCCTGCATATAAAATAGGTTTCTGACTTGTATATAGGACTTTATCCTATGCCCAGTAGAGTTTTAGAGCTTTTAGGGAGATAAGTTGATAATATATATCCCATGTCTTGATTTTGAGGTTTCCATATCCAGAACCTCCATATCTCCTGCCATAACTCCCGATCCAGGGCATATCTTTCGGGTTTGAAAATTTTTTTAAAAATAATTTTGGAGAAAACACCACTGAGTATCGCATAAAGTAGTAATGTACAGTCGGTTTGAATATGGGGTTTATCCCTCGTGAGATATGCACATCTACCCTCTGGATAAACCCCATATCCAAAACCTCAAAGTACATTACCCTTATATACCTAGGTCTGATTCAACAGAAGGCCAAAGTGTATTCAGGGAATATCATAACCATAATTACATTAGTATATTGTGTTAATCTGAACCATATGAATCAGTAGTTAAATAAACAGTCTCAATCCCAGGTGCATTATCTAGCTCAGTATTTGTTATTGTTACCCTGAGTGCAGGGGTAAGTCCTAAAATAACCTCAGTTTTACAGTTACAGTTGGAAGCCCACTCATATTGAAAATTGATAGCCCATTTTCTTGAAGATTTGGCTTAAATTTTTAAGGTAAGGGGCAAAAGACCAAGTAATGCCCAAAAAACACTAATTCATATTGGAGCCCTAAAAAAATTTTGGGCTCAGAAAAAATCTTAATCCGCCAATGGTGTGTTGTATTAGAGAGTTTATATTGGTAGATTTACACTTGAGATATAAGATTACTTGCATATCAAAGTTATTTTTATATTGTTTGAATAAACTTCAACATGTTTCTTTTTAATCGAGCTTGAAATAATATGTTGACATAAAGATTTTTTAACATCTCAAACGTTTGTACATTACATTATATGGTGTCAGATGGTTCAAAAAGTAAAAGATATCACACTTCAACTTATATTTTCAAAAGTAGATATCTGATCAGGCCCATAATAGTGGTTGGAAGACTGACTCGTGTACTCGAGTTTTACTCGCATTTGTCCTAAAAATCAATTGATCGAGTTGAAAACTTGAACTCAAGATTTGAAATTTTTACCAAAAAAATATTTTTCACTCGTTTTCACCTTACCTTGACTCGCGATTCGTCTCTCCTATTCGCAATTTCCATGCTTATAGTTGTAATGTTCTGCTTAATCTGTATAGAATACAACTTATTTTCTATTTAATGCCATGTGCGGAAGACAAACATACTTGGATTTTATTCTGCGTTTGTTATTTTTATGCAAAAGTTTCATTTCCGGTTTGATGCATTCTGGGAATATCCAACATATACGATTTAGACAATAAAAAGTATAGAGGCACTTGAAAGACTTAATCAAATTGATGAATTCTGCCGCTACTTGGGAAACTGAAACCAGAAGTAACTCAACTAAGTCAAATCGCGAATATAATCATGGTTTTTCATGGCCCACTCGAGTGAAGATTTTCAGGCGAGTCCGACCACTAGCCCATAGACAGCATTTGCCACATTTCTTGGCCTAAAATCACTCGAAAAATGTCAGTTGTTAGACCTCCATATTTATAAGGCTACACTATTAGGATGAAATATGCAATTGCAGATGCTTTAAGGGTAAAGGCCAAAAAGTATTAAAAACACATAGCAGATATAGACATAATAGATAGGAAAGAATTATTTCAGAATAAAACTGGTCATGAGACAAATCTCAAGCAAACATTTATTTAACATAAAAAGAACAGTGTCTTACACCCCCAGATCTTAACATATTCTAAATTCATAATGATATGTCCCTTACATAATTATTAGACTTGGACGTGGACCTTATTTTCTGAAAAATGTAAAGCTTCAATAAAATTACTACCAAGTAAACAGTACAAGTCCAAAATTGAAGAAACCACATTTGCCTTTTCCAATTTTAAAAGGCAATTAAACTTACATGTATTCCCACTCAATTTCTACAATTTTCATGCTTCAATAATTGATAGAAAAGGTTTACTTCAAATTCAATGAATCAATTAAGTTACAAATCTATATAAGGCATGCAATGACCTACTAATACTAAAATGACTGACACCTACAAAATGTGCCTGTACACAACTAATGCTGAAGATTAAGGATAAAGAAAACAAGGGAGGGGTTGGCAGGGGTTTCATTAAGAAAGGCAACAGGCGATTTTTGCCGGTTGTTTTCACCAAAATGGCCTGTTGTATTGAGGAATTATGAAAAAGTTAAAATTATAATTTCTAATATAATATTACCTGTTATCAGAAATTCTGATGAAATCTCTGGGTTGGTGTTCTTCATGATTGACCCTTCTATCAGGGGTTTTATTAGCAGGAGGCAACAGGCGATTTTCATCGGTTGTTTTCGCAAAATCGCCTGTTCTTTAGGGGCTTTTCAACTTCTCCATGTTAAATTTATGCTTTCCATTAATTTTGCCAGTTGTTTTCATTTATTTAGCCTGTTGTGAGAAATTCTAGTGAAACCCCTGCTTCTATACACCAACCTCTAGTGTCAATGAAAGTCATCAAGGAGGCAATGTGAAATTGTGAATTCCATAAACATGATTGACACCTCTCGATTATCACCTCTAGTGTCAATGAAATACTACCGGTTAAGTAAACAAGGAGGTGTTGTGACTTCCCAAAGTGATTAACACCTCTCAGGCTTTAACCTCATCCTCTTGGAAACAATATTTCAAACTATAAACAAGGCATTAACATGCAAAATGTCACAACCTGCCATTTATTACAGATGTCGACCATCGAAACACTGACCATCGAACACTGTCCACAAAAATGAAAATGTGAGACAATTTCTCACTACTTTTCAAAATACAGAGGGTTATTCGCTAATTAGAGACACTTTCAATTCTATAGCTATGTTAGGTAGACACCCTACATGAAGTGATTTAACAAGTATCAACCCAAATTAGTTTAGGAAAAGACAATCAGACCAAAAACAAAAAATATTAGTACCACTACTTTTGTAATGTGGTATTTGTAAAGAACTAGATATGAACTAAATATAATATGCTTTACTTAGATTAGATAGATTGTTAGATATCGATCAATGTATGTCATGTGGCATGTCTCATTGGAAGCAAACACATAATTAGTGATGGAACAGTAGACTAAAGTTACAACTTCAATTCACTGCAATAAATCATGGCCAAATATTGTTGAAATGTTAGTAATTCTGGATCACTGATCAATGCATATTAATGTATGTAAACTGAAATGACTTGTGTCTTGATATGTGTGCAGTTATTTCCACCCGATGCAAATTCTATGTTTTATTCCCCATGATGCAAGAGTTGTGGAAAAGGACCAGTAATGGATTCTAAATAAAGACTTGACTACTCTCTAGAGCGTCATCAATAATTTTCTGTACAGTGTACTTACATTAAAGTTGTCATTTGTGATATGTATGGAGAAAGGATGTCCGTTTTCTTCTACGGGTTGTATGTCACAGCCTCCAAGTGGTATGGCACCCTAAAATGAAATTATTTATTATTTCAAAAAATTTAAAATGTTTTGTGAAGATACCAATATGGCTAATAGTTATAATGGCCTGCCCTAGCATATTAATTTAATTGAATTTCAAGTAATTGTTCTTAATTTAACACATCCAGAAAGTTTTCAATTCATGACTTTTTTTATTAATGGGTTAGATATTGGTGACACCATATCTAGTGAGTAAGCAAATAGGACTAAGAATTAACGAAGTTAATCAACATTTTCAAAATCACCATTAAACCATTATCATAACTGACCACTGCTCAATCAAAATATTAAGAACAAAGCATTAACCACATAACGCTGAACACAAACCATCATCCATAAAAATAGTTGGAGAATGTCACTTCTGGTGATATAATCATAAAGCATGAAGTTTTGCATCACTTACTTTTGGATGTATATTAAAGAATCTCTTCTTTTCAAATTCTTTCTTTTCTCCATCAGAGTAATACAGAAGAAAACCATCTTTAATTATGAAGAACCTAAAAAAATCATATTTTATGTTTACAAATTTTTATATTTCATGATACAATGTAAAGAATGGATAGAACGTTTGGGGAAAGCGGGGCTGGAATCTAATGACAATATCACCGGGAAATGATTAAAAGGTACGCAAGCATTTTTTCTGTCCAGGATTATTGGTTTCGGGAGAAGATTCCCGGGGATTTAGTAGGATAATGATTGTGAATATCAGCAGAAATTTGGTAGGTTCGGGGGTTTTCTTGGTAGCTAATGAAAAAAGATGTTAGCCTTGATGAAATACCCAAACTTCGATATATTTTGACACCAGGTCCATGATCGTTGGATACGTCTCTGCACTATTTATCCAACCTTTAATATGTCTGGGGTAAAATCATTTGTTCTATAATCCTACACTACACTTTGGCCATGAATTACTAAAATTAGGCTAGATTAGATCAGAGGACTCCACAGTTCGAACATGACTTCAACATGAATTCATATACAGTTGGGGACATAAATAAATGACAGGTGGATTTGCTGAAGTGAGGATTTCCCATGTTAAAAATAAGAGAATTTACAAGAGGCCATAAATCAGTGGATGAGATTATACAAAATGTAAAATATACAAATTTTAAGGGATATGTATCTAGACAATATTGGAAATTATGGGCTTTCAGACCACCATAATTAGGAAATGGTGATCGAAAATCGACCTGTCATTTATTTTTGTCCCCAACTGTAGAGATGACTCTAAACACTGATTGGTCAAATGACATTAGACCTAACGAAAATAAAATGGCAGATTCAAAATTACTCCAAATAAAATAGATTTAGAAACCCTAGGCATAGATTGTAGGCTAGCCTACGCTGCTAAGTAAAAAAAAAATAGAAAATATTTTCAGAAAAAATAATAACCCACCTTTTAGACCATTTGCTAGACTGGTGTGCAAATGGTTTCTTCATCAAAACTCCATATAATTGGACATTATGATATTGCTCACCATTTCCTAAATTGGGAGGCATTATATTGATATTTCGGTGTGAATAAATCCTAATATCTCAAGCTCATTTAAATTTTGAGAATCTGGAAATAATCCAACTTCCTGCTTTAAAGAAATCTCATATTTTCTCGCGGGATTTCGACAAATCTAGTCTGACGTCATTGATCTATAAATAGGCCGTCGGGACTACATTTTCCTTTGAGGAAACAAAATCAACAAACCAACCAAGGCCAAGAAAAATAATATATTCATCAGAAGGATTAACAAACATCTACTGGAAATTACATGTCTGTGCACACAAGCCATTGAATTTCCCCTGATATGAACAGAAGCAAAATACATACATCTTTTCAGGATTTTGTATGATAACAATTAAATTGTGACACAGTCACACAGTGAGCACTATCAATCTTCAGATAAAGTGCGGTTACTCTTTGACTTCCGGTTTGGACTCCCGTTTTTGTTTGGTCATAATCACTGAGTTGGTGTATATTTTACCTTATTTTTTAACTTCAATTGAGTCTCAATACTGGTCGTTGGCATGAGATATTGAGCTTGAAGCACAAATTTCTTACTTTTTTTGGGCCAAAACTCTGCTCATGGACATGACATCATATCTATTTATAGATCGTCAAGAAATCTGTAAAAAAAGATTCTGACAAGTTACAAATATATGAAAGTTGAATAAACATAAGATATCACTGAGCATCTGGCATGAGAAAAAATATTTAGAATTTTCTTTTTTCTAAGTTACCGGACTTCATTCTATTTTATTAGATATTAGATAGATGGTGCTGACTGTGCACATTCACCATGTCGAGTTATTTTACAATAGTTCAACCCAGAGATTTATTATATGTCTGTTCAACCCTGAGTCTCAGATTTCAACAAAATTATAATTCATATCAGTGACAAACCCACTGCTGACGGATCTGGGGGTGGTGGGGTTCGGAGGCAGGGGCACACCCCCCCCCCCCATTTTTTGAGGACCAAAATCTAGTTTTGCCCCACATGAAATTGAGTAAGCAATTTAGGTAACAAACAAGCTGTTTTCCTAGGGCTTACAAAGGCTTGTAGCTAGACTACCAGGAGGCCACAGTAGCTCCCAAAATGCCTTTAGATCCTCATAGCATCACCTCCGGTCCATCAACTCCAACTGATTCAGGCTGGGTGGAGTTGGCAATATTGTAGACAACAGCAGGGGCGTAGCCAGCTTTCAGTCAACGGGGGGGGGGGTGCCATCGCCAAAGAATTTCGGTTTTCAGTCAGTGGAGTGCGATTGTACACTCCCCTCCATAAGTTTGGCAACCCTAGCTGAATTTTTATTTACTTAACCGGCGATAAAATAACTAATCATATTGATGGAGAAGTAACTAGACTTCATTTTCAATACCTCCAAATTTTCTCAATTTTTTTCCTCAATTACAATAGGTCGAAAATTGATGATAAATTTGATGATTTTTTTATAATCGACATTCCCAATTCCCATGTAATCCAATGGGAAATGAAGGGTTCGGGGCAAATCAGAAATCAGGATATCCTTTCAGTAAAAGATTGGGCAAAAAATATTTTTATATAGAAAATCGAATTGTCTCACCTTTTTGTACACTAAGTATTTAGTTTATTTGATGAATACTAAAGTTACAGCGCTTCAAAGTCATTTTTGAAAATAATTTTTCGCCTCCTGTGTTATTTAAATGGGAGAGGTTTTTTGAAAAACAATTTTGACTTTAAAGCCCTATAACTTTGTTGAACCTGAAGAAACATATCAATTTTTTGATAAATAAAGTTAGTAAATTCAATTACCTGCCTAACTAGTATTTTTTGCAAGGAATCGGATGGATGGATATTCTGTCATATGATTTGCGGCAAACCTTCCATTTCCCATTGGTTAACATGGGAATGTCGATTTTCAAAAATTCATCAAATTTATCATCAATTTTCGACTTATTGTAATTGAGGAAAAAATTTAAGAAAAATTGGAGGTATTGGAAATAAAGTCAAATTCCGTTTCCATCAATAGTGTAAGTATTTTCATCGCAGGTTAAGTAAATAAAAATTCAAAGGTAAAGAGGCTTTAACACGTAGTTCAATGGGCGAACTAAGGATGCCAAACATATGGAGGGGAGTGTAGCATAAACAAGCCAAAAATCTTGAATTTTACAAAAATTGATGCAACTAGAGCTAGAAGCTTCAAATTAAAAGCATTTTAAAGCTTTTTTCTTCTCTTATCTCATGGTTATATTTTTTATTAGTTATGGGGGCGGGGGTGCTACGCCTACGGTAACAATGTTCAAATCCATTGACATTATGCTTCACAAACTCAAATATATTATCTCCCAAAGGGTTCATGATAAAGGATTAAAAATGTAATGTATTATTCTACAAAGATGTAAACGTTTCCCTGACATATGAAAGGTATGATTGTACTGTTCTTTGTTATTGATTAAAAGCAAAAGTAATATGTGCATCATACCATGTACGCCATGATCAGAACAATTTATGTGGTTAACCAACAGCGATCAATATCAGGGGCCAATGCAGTGTTGTATACAAGCTAGAAAAAATTGTAAAACGTATAGCTATAGAGCTCTATAGGCTTGTATTCGCGAATGTAATTTTCGGCTGGCTGTTGACTACAGACCCCGGGCTACAGACCAACTATTTAGTGGCAGGTTCTATTCATACCAAAATGAAATGCCAATAAAACAGTAGGTATCCGGTAGCCGACAACCGAAAGTTGCATTCGCGAATACAAGCTTATAATAGCTTCATCATAAATGGACATATCTGACCTCTTCGTTCTTCCTAGTTGCAGGCAAGTTTGATTGCAAAACTAGACATATTAATTTGCGTGGCCTAAATATTTCTCTGACGTCACTATCCATCTTGGCGGTGATTACTCGATTTATTTTGTAGCCTTACGCGTCTGTTGGCGATATCATTAAGACATAATTCTAATCAAATTATAAATCGATTGATATTTTGAGAAAAACTAATTAACGTTTTGATCACAATGCAATTAGATAAAAAAATCACGTGTAAAATATGAACATATAGGTGAAAATCACAAATAAGAGTCGATCTATTTTCTTGTTAAATCGCGCATGACTACAGTGATTGGCCCATATAAAAACACAACTGGATGTAAACAACGTCAGTGCGGCGTAGGCAACATCTATAGGAGCTGGTCTCGCGGTGGACTTCATTTCAGGACATCTGATTTCGTTTATATTTGGGTTTAGGAGCTCTATTTCTTCAGCTAGCTATTGGATTTTAACCATTTGTTGAATGTATCAATATATTGGTGTCTTTAGTTGGAAGAAAGTTGAGAAAATGCTGTTTGAACTGAAAAAGGAAATGGCGCAATTGAACCCGCCATCTTGAATTGAGAAATATTCCAGAATATTGAGTCATATAATGTTGAATATTAGGCATGATGATGTCAATTCTTTTTAATTAACTGATTCAAGGAATAGAAATGAATTAAACGCTTGAAAAACATTCATGAAAAGTTAGCTCAAGTATCTTGATTGTCTGATTTTCAAGGTGGAAAGTTCCCAGACAGGAATCCAGACAAAGGACGATGCGACCTTCATAATCAGGTAAGTTTTACTTCTAGATAGACATTTAATTATTATCATGTTTCATAAAAACTTGGAACTATTCTCAGCTTTCGATTCACAGGCCCAGGAAGATTTAAATCCCCCCGTCACTGTATCGCTTATGTAAAAAATACAAACCTTTTTTCTAAGTAATACATAGTGAGGGGGATGAACTCTAGTTGTCTGTGTTTCGATTATATTAACCTTCCAATGGATCTATCGAAAGCCCATGTTTTAACCATATTCTCCATAATTGTAAGTATCCCTTGGCCAATTTTTGATATGCTAATTTCCATATGGTAATGGGATTTGTGAGTTGACCCTGCACATTTTATTGGGTATTTTGTCTTCCTACTGTATTCTTCACGAAGGAATAGTTTGCGTGATGAAAACTTAGTACATGAATTGAAGTTTCAGGATTATTTTTCTACATTCAATGAACAAAGACTTTGGCCTTTTAGGCTAGTATTTTGTATGCTGGATCATCCAGCTCAGTTAGTATGCTATGGTTAGACTATATCCTATTTAGTCTGAATTATATTCAGACTATAAGGCACCTATGTTAAAGATTGGTAATTTGTAATATTTGTTTACATAGGAAGTGCTATTCAAAATGGCCGATTTGGTAAAATTAATTTGCACATTTTTACTTCAACTAGCCTTATTTCCACTTGACAATATGCTGTGTTACTTTTTATTGCATTTAATTGTACCTTACTACTTAATTGAAATTTTGTAATGCTTATTTTATTGAAGAAATGGTTCCTCTAATTGATAATTTTGTGCAAAAAATTTCACTGCAATTTCCACAGGAAAGTAGTATATCATAACAGACTGACTTCTGTCAGTCTGTTGGATACATACTAATGCTATGGTGGATTTATTATTACATTTACATATTAATATTATATATTTATGGATATGACGCATGAATATGTTTGTGTGACTACTCATACTCAAAATATGTTGAGGTGTTGCCCGTACTTAATATTCTTCATTTTTTTAGGTCCAGCTAAAGGAGTGCATCGGGCATCTCCAAGGCATCAGTCTGGTCATCTGGTATCGTGAGTCATTTAGTTTTGGCAATTATGTTTATTAATTGACTTTTGTTGTTATATATGGTCTGTCTCTTGGTTATTAATAAAGTTATGATAAGTACTATGATTACAAATCATTTATAAATGTAATAAACACTTAGTTAATTGTTATATATATGTATGGGGAAATGGGGGGTTATGATGACTTGCTATTTACAGTATTTCACAGTAGAGTGTCGCCCCAGTGCAGTGACTGCGGGAAGTACAGGTTAACTGAAACAGCTCAGATGTGTGGCCTTTGTGGCGGAAGCAGTTTTTCCTGTTAAGATACGACTAGTTTTCTATTGATAATTTATGTTTATCATTGAATTTGATTGATTCAATCATTTCTTTAAATAGTTGATAAATAGCCTTAATTTAAGAATTCTTGAGTGAATTAAGGTAATGATTACATGTCTAGTTGCATGACAAACGTTTTGCAGGGTT